TGAGTGACAGTGATGTGGAATAACTCTCAAAACGAAATGTTTGCATGGTAACAATAAAAATATACATGGCGTTTTGAAACCTTTGACATGCAATAATTTCAATTAACCCTAATCTCTGGTCCCTCGATGGCTTCGTTGACTGTAAATACTTGTCATGACAAAATTCCCCTGAAAAACAATTTCGTGCAACTGTCTCCCAATGCGGGGGAAATCTGTACACAAAAGCAGTACAAAGAATCTGAATTTTTTACTTTCTACGAAGCAGACAAGCCATTGACCAGGTCGCTCAGCTCATCGAGACGATCTTCTTCCTCCAGCCTAAGCTTGAGCATGTCGAGAACACTAGAATCATCACATTCCGCTTGTTTCTGTCGTTTTCTTCGTGGCATGTCGTAAGTGTTGTTACCCTCCACACCTAGGCACGCTTGGAACACACGAAGAAGAGTCCCAAAGGTCTTGTCCAGCGTCGACGGAACCATGTCTTCAAACAACTGCTCGACGGCGAAACCCAGGTCTTCAATGGACGAGCATTCCATTCGTTGCTGAAGTGCTTGAATAGAGTTGAAAAGCCGAGGTCAAGTACGTTCATGTCGGGCGATTGGGCCGACTGATTGAGCACCCTGCTGTCCCAACCACCCGACATGCAAGCGCTGACCACGGAAACATCGTAAGGCGCGACGTGAGACTTGGCGTTGTCTTGTTATACGAAGATCGTCGGCGGGGCATTGTAACTGAAGGGGCGCTGCTTTTGCTTGAGTGCGGGAATAACATTGTCGACGAGGTATGACCGATACACATCTCTTATGACTGACACAGGCTCGTAGACAATAGTCCCCGCCAGTCGATTGACACTGTTCCTCTTTGCTGCCGATAAGCGCAAGAACGACCAGCATCCTACCTTGCCGTCCCACCCATGGCGTGGTCTTGCGACGGCAACCAAGAATATCACCTTAGTGATGTGCGACTTTCCTTGGAGTTGACGTCTTGAAGGCTTTTCCTCGTCGGTCGACATGTAGAATTGACGACGAATCTTCGTGATATAGAACCACTTCTCGTCCACGTAGACGACGTTAAACAATTCAATATGGCTCTCGTTACCTAGATCTGACGTGAAAAGCTTGCAGTGGTTGATTCGCGCCTGCTTGTGAAGTTCCTTGAGTGCCGGTCGTGTCCAGCAGGTACGCTTGAGGATCCACCGCTGCTTTATATAGTTTCAAATGGTCCATGTAGATGAACCAGTGTGGGCGGCGAGGCTCTCCGGTACGTTTGTCGAAGACGAAGGGGTGTTGCTTTGATCCGACGTTCAATTTCGTCCAGCGCGTAGGATTTCTTCCGACCGCGAAGTTGATTTCGCGTGGACACGTCTGCGCGGCTACCACGTGGGCGAGCCCTTGCTAGGTGCATGATGCGCCACCCAGTCGTCTCATGGACGTTGTATTTGGCGCAGACGTCGGCGACGATTTTGCGTGAGAGCTTGCCATACGAGCTGCGCGTCGTAAGCTCTTCATAAAGAGCATGCCGCTGGTCGTTGCTCAGAAACGTCTTCGATTTTGTATGCGAGTATTGCATCGCCATATCGTTTGCAAAACGATATGTCAGTGAGCAGAACCACCGATTTTCAGGCCAATCGGATGGCCTTAAGACCTTGACCCGCAACAATTGCCAAACAGAGTGGTACTTGTGTATGACCATTATTCGACAACTTCAGAAAAGATGCGTTGTGGAGGTTGGCTACCGCCTACGCGCGCTCCTGGCTCAGTTTCACGTGGTCGAGATCGTTGTCGAACGCCACGGACTGACCGACTGAGCCAAGAGACCAAGGCCATTTTGACGCCCGGAGCCAGCGGCGCCGTCAAGAGCGAGCTCAAGGCCGGAACAGAAATGTGGGACGACACCAAGGCTGTCCGAGAATTGCGCGCGTCCGGGTGCTCTACGCAGTGGCCTGATGAATTGAAGACGTGGATGGACGATGTCGATCCGAGTAGCGTCCAGGCAAGCGAATGGGTCGCCATGTCGGCATTGAGCGGGTGCGTGTGGAACCTCCAGGCGCAGTGTGATCGACCAGGAACTGCTTAGTTTGAGCCAATATCAAACCTATATGCCACCGGACGCCTTGTCATCGCCCTCGGCGTCATTCCAAGGCGCATCCATCTTGTCGCAGCAATACGTTGTCCTGGACGGCCATACGATCCACAACTTGGAGTTGCTCCAGAACAATGACAACGGTCACGGTGGACTGGGTCAATGCTGGCACAACTCGACCGTGACGAATTTCGGCAAGCGGCTATTTGAAGAATAGCTGTGGAAGCCTCTCTGCGGTGTCGACGCGATTCACGCCCGCCTGGACGCAGAGCAGGAGCTTATTCTGCAACACGCACTTGAAGTCGAGCGTCGATCGATCTTGAAGACCATGCAGGAGCACTACCTGTCGCGCATCCACGCGCTCGGTGTGCTCCGACCTGACCACCCCGATGACCGTGTCATCCTGTACGAGACGTCGCAGTGCAACGTGCGCAAGATCATAAACTTTGTCGCGACGCTGTCTGGGTTCCAAGCGAGTCTACAGATCGTCAAGACTTTGAAGCA